TCTCTGCTGACACCGTCTTGCTTGTATAAGATGTTTATTACAAAGTAAAACAGTATCATACCACTATAAAGTACCTGAGAGGGGATCTGTGCCAATTCTGAAGTGCCCCCTCCAGAACAATATAACCAATTGCTTATATAGGGTGGTTGTTGTTGAAAAAGGAGACAGAACATATTGTCCTTTTAGACCCTTGGACCTTTGGACCAGGGGCCCCCTAACTTAAACATTCCAAACCTGCAAAGTCAGATAACACATGAAACTCTAGATACCACACTATCAGATGGTTAAATCAACCCGAATCCTTACGTTTTCTGGATGGGCAGTAAACAAAAACGTCCTGGCTAATACCCATCCAGCTCCGTCTGGAAAAGCTCCTGTTAACCACTTTCTAATCAGCTAACCGGGAAATCACCGAGGAGAAGAGAGAGAATGACATTTCTGTGTAGTCCAGTTACATTTCCTCATTCCGATTGTCTCTAAGAGATGATCATTGGCTATCAAACAGTATTAAAGGGAGGAAATGAATTCAATAAGGTTTTATTCACCACACATGAAACTGTAAGCAATAACCGCACTTGGTTACTTCAGTGTCACCTCTAAAGGTCTGATATTTCGGTTCTTTTATCATAAACACGTTTGTTATGGAACTGGCCCCGTGTCTCAGTCAGCTCTGATTGGCATTATGTTTGGGCAGATTGGATTTCTTGAAAATAGCCTCTCGACACACTGTGGTTGATATTTGCCTGAACAGTCCAGCTGTATGGTAAATAAATTGACCCCTAACTCTCCTTTTTGAGAATATTAGGCACGTTGTCTTTAGCTATACTCTCAAAACAGGTGGCTCCTCAAGGGTTCTTTAATAAAGACAATTGTACTATGTAGAACCATGTACACTCAAAGACACATTTGCATTTTTAAATGGTTCTTTGCATTGTGAAATGTTCTTCAGAATGATTTAGAATATGTTGTATAAGGTTCTATATAGCACCAAAAAGGGTTCCTCTATTGTTACAAGCCTGACATCATAACAATAGGAGGGCCCTTTTGGTATAGAACCCTTTTCAAAAAGTTTCTATATAGAACCATACACAACACATTTTCCATCAATCTGAAGAACCCATTCACAATGCAAAGAACTCTTTAATTAATTTTAAAATGATTCTTCTACTATTACAAGCTTGACATTGTAACAATAGAAGAATCATTTTTGGTGCTATGTGGAACCCTTTTCAAAAAGGCTCTGTATAGAACCATATTCAACACATTCCCTATCAATCTGAGGAACCCTTTCATGATGCAAAGAGTGTTCATGGTTCTATATAAAATCAATTGCTTTAGTAAAAAACCCTCAAAGAACCATCATTTTTAAGTGTGTAGAGAACCCTTAACCCTGAGAAACCTAAAATTTTGGGGAATTTTTTTGGTATTTTTTGGGTCAGTTACAACTACAATTGCATTTATAAAGTATTTACATGTGAAAGTTACACATGCTGTATGTTGTTATTTTCAGGAGACCCTGGGCTACTCAGATATGCCATTGTTTGACATGTAAATACTAACAGAAATTTGATATCTTTATGAATTTGGGTCAAATTTTGTATTTTTTTAATTATAGAGATCTTAAAAAAAAACAAGTGCAGTAGTAATTATCTTTTCAGAAGTTGTTAGTCTGGAGTGTCTGTGAGCTGAAAGTGCAGTCATTTTGATGGTGATTTGTTCTGTTGGTTATTATGAGTAAAAATAAACAATTAGCGTAGGGTGGATGTGTTTTTTTTTATTGATTTTCTGTCCTCTTGGATTAGTGCTCAGTGCTAAAACTCTGATACACAGCAAGACAGGCTTTATTTTAATTACAAATTGAGTTGCATATTTAATATCAGATATTTTTAATACTCAAAATCAATGTAAACTGAAAGCCCTTTGTTTATAATATGAGGGCTAAAAGCAGAGGTGTAATAGTAGCGAGTGGGGTTTGGGTGATTTTGGAGCTGGATTGCTGGCTGATGGATGGTCACAGGTGGATGAAATCACTCTGGATTATAAGGACGGATTCTGATGTGTGAATCATGTCGCTGTTTTAACCCTTTGTTGGAATATGAAGGCCAAACAACAGAGCAATAACATCAGGATTTTAGGTGCTTTTCCGAGCCGAGTTACTCACTAATGCTGACATCACAGCTCGATGATGCTGGCTAGTTAGGGGCGGGTCTGCTGAATGTCCTGATATGTGTATCATGTTTGTATCTTTAACTGTTCTGAAGATATGAAGGACAGAAGTGTCCTACCGTTTTGCCCACAAATTGCAGTCTTAAAGAACCATTTAAGGGTTAAAGAACCATTTTTTTTAAGAGTGCAAGTTACTATTTGACAGTAAAAAATTAGAATACCAAACTGGAAGCAGCCAATATGAAGTGAAGACTTTCTTTGATTTTCTCCAAAACCTAAAGTTGTAGAATTAAACTGTTAAATTAATTGCTTAAAAAATAATAATGCCCCCTTTTTCATTAATTAACTTACATCTGTGGGTAAGTGCACTAGGCTATATGTCCAAAGGTTTGTTAGACACCTACTTACACAAAGTTAGTTAAAGGTATTAGAGGGCAAATGAGGTCAGGAACTGATTTATTCCCAAAGGTACTGGAGGAAGATCCATCACACCAGAGATGCTGGTTCATGTGTGGGTAATACTGAAACTCAAATTTTTAAATTTGTAAAAACTTCCTGTTGAAATAGCTTGAGACTTCTTTGCAAAGTGACCAAAACTATCCCATAATACCCAATACACTGTCCCATAATGTCCCACTTCAATAAATATGACAGAGCACCAACTTAGTGTATTGACTTTGACATTGAACGTAGATTGTTTCTCTCTGTTGATAACGTCTCCTTCAGCTGCATGTGGTGAGAAAATATAGAAAATGAGAAAAATGAGAAATAAATGAGAAATTTACTTTGAGAGGTGAGGCCTCTTGGTGAAGGCAATAAAATTCTCAGTCCTGGTTATGTTTCCATTATTTTGTCTTCCTATTGCAATAGTGTTGAATGACCACAAGATGACACTGCCATAATGTTTTTGATATCTATCTTGCACCCTCTGCAGGATCTAACCTATACTGAAAAAAAAGTATTTTCACCATCAAAGTACTGTAAAATGTAATGGTCTATACCCATTTTTTGAAAAAAAAAATGTATTTTAACACTGCTGTCGCTAATTTACAGAAATAACATGGAAATTCACAGAAACAACCAACTGCATTTATTTTATTGTTATTGTTGTTATTATTATGGTAAAATACTGCATGTCAGAATAACTACTTGAACTAGTGACACTTTAATTACAGTAAAAGGCAGGACTAAGAAATTAACTGACTGTAATTTTACAGAATTTTACTATCATTGAGAAAGCATGCTTTTACTGTTATTTGAGGAGTTTTGTCTGGCACCCCTGCAGCTTTTCTCAAGTGCACTGTGGCTTTGCGGTGCAACAAGGGCTCACATTTCTGCTTGAGCCAGAAATGAGTGGTGCTGTGAAGTTCAATTCAATTTACAGAATCGATTCTTTTGAACAGCCTGTTCAGTGAATCAAATGTGTGATTCCATGATTCCTTTTTCATTCCCGGAGGCAATGGTTAGAACATCTTTTTTTTTCAAACTTTCTAAATAATTCGATCATTAGGATGTACACAAAGTCATTCACACATGTTGATGTGAAATGGTGTGTCGTAAAGAAACTTACCGACTCAGATTTCTGTACAGTGGTGGTGATGGGAACCAGAGGTTGCAGTGTCTAAAATGCAATCATTATTAGCTACTTTATTAGCCATTATTAGCCGTTTTAAAACAATCAGTGAACCTACACATGAGTTTTTATATGTGATGTTGATGATGGTGAAATAGTGATAAATCTGAGAAAATCGTACTGATTTAATTATGCAGAAATTTTGAAAAAGTGGTGGAGTTCCTCTTTAATTATGTGCCGCATTGCTGGGTGGTTCAGACTGTTTTGAAAGAATTCATGCAGGTTAGAATGCATACAACTTAAATAATCATTAGTTTTTCTTTCCAAGAAGTTTGTTTTCTGTCTGGTTATTTACAACATTGCGTAAGAGACTCTTTCAAGTAATTTAAGAGAAGAAGCAGAACAACACAGTCCAGTCTAAACAAGCTAAATCAGGTTTATGAGATAGTCTTTTAGTGTAGGGGTGCCCAAATGTTTCTCCTGGGAGGCTAAACTACAAACAGACTGAGGGCCAAAAAGACAAAACAGAGTACAAATAAAGAAGGCAGGTAGGTCTTTGTAACAACTTTAACGATGGGCGGAGGAAAGACGGATGGGTGTGAAGACGGAGAGCTTTCTTTTATTATTATTTATACACAACGCAAAACACTCGGCTTTTCAGCCCACAAAGTAAGACGACGCTCGCTGGGACTTTTCAGTCCTTTCTTTTCTTTCTGGCTCGGCTCGGCTGCCTTCATAGGTCTCCTTCTCTCTCTGGGCTCTGCCTCCTACTGAAGGAAGAGATAGCTATAAGTAGGCTGGCAGAAACAAGGCACAGGTGAACATAATCAGCTACTTAGCCCGCTGGATCAGCCAGACCAGCTTCTCCGTCCCGCATTCGACGCTCGGCCACGCCCCCTTCTCCACAGTCTTAAATCAAATTTTTAACATGATACAGACACAAATGTATTTTATAAAAGCATATAAAAAATGCATCTTCGTATATATATATATATATATATATATATATACATGTGGATTATCATTAAATAATGCAATATAATACATTTGGAAAATATTGTGATATTCGTTTTTGTTTTTTTTGTTGTTGTTTATTTTATTCAGTATTTTGGTCTCAGATTTCTGTTGTTGTGAGCTGCTGTGCAGCTGAAGGCAAATTCCTCTTGTGTGCTCAGTGAAGCCTGGTTCCGACTCTGAGAACAGGTTCAAAAGAGCCGATTCGTTGGTGAATCGGACACCGCCAGAGGAGAGAGAGGGAGTTGCTCTGAAGCTGCATGTGTCTCGGCGGTCAGTCAGAGTCTCAATCGGTCGGCGTGGGTGCTGCTGCAGCTTTAACCGCAGCGGCCGCGAAGTCTGTGAACGGGGTCGAGCCTTCAGGACGTTACATTTAAACGAGTGGGTGAGTAAAGGACCTGTGGAAGAGAAAAGGTCGCTCTTTTTAAGCGAGAGTCTGCTGTGTTGTGGTTAGCCGGGGTCCTGGTGTTTTGCTACTGGATGCTAGCTGAGGCTGCTCTGCCTTCAAATCTCAGCAGAAAGTAGTCGTGTTAACGTTAGCTAGTTTGTTTTGTTAGGTTGTTTCTTAGCAGGCACCTTTTCAACCTGACATTCATTTACCGAGTGAACCAAGACAGCCTTAGGGTCTTAGAGTTACCATGTTTTACTGGAGAGAAACGCCACCAAACACGTTTCCATGATTCGTGTTGTTTGTTAGTAACGGACGCAGCTCAGTTAGCTGTGAGGTCGTTATTTACATTTTTACGTGTAAATAGCTGCCTGTCCGTCACTGCTGCTCTGTAGTAGTCACAAAAACAGTTTGGCTAGCTGACCTACATGCTTTTCCCTCTCTTTTCGCATCTGAGGATGATATTTTGAGTGCCCGCGGTCACCAGTAGATCTAAAACTTCAGAAAATGAAAACTTTTTAGTGAAATGTCTTAACTAACCTGCTTGACTGTAATGTGAAAAGTCCTCCCCTCGTTTGTTGTTTGTTGTTAAACGTCCGGCACAGTAATAGTCAGCAAGCTGCTTTTGAGTGCACGCTTGAAGAAAGATGGTTCTTTAGTAAAGAAATTGGTTTCAGAGAACCCTTTGTAGGATTAAAGGGTTGTTTGCATAGTCAAATGGTTCTTCAGATTAATGGAGAATGTGCTGTCGATGTTTCTATATAGAACCTTTTTGAAAAGGGTTCTATATAACACAGAAAAGGGTTACAGGCTTGAATCGTCACAATAGTAGAAGCCTCATATATATGTATGTATGTGTGTGTGTGTGTGTGTGTGTGTGTGTGTGTATGTATATATATATATATATATATATATATATATTCATGTATATATCATGTATGTATGTGTGTATATTTATTTACACACACATACATATATATATATATATATATATATATATATATATATATATATATATATACATACACACACACATATATATAATATTGTGATACTGTAGTCAGAACTTAATAACTGACCCACATTAATTAAAAGTAAAATTAGTTATGTTTAACTGGATTTAGTGCTAAACAGCGTGCCCAATATTGAATAAAAATCACTGTGTTCATAGCTTTTGGTAGCATTTCTTAAAAAAATGTAGCACTGCTCGTTCTTTTTTCTCCTTTCTAAATGATCAGATCTCTGAAAAAAAATAAATATTATGATGTATTGTGTATCATGAAAATGTTTTGAATTACCACAGTGTTATATTTTTGCTGTATTGCCCATCTCACCTCGAGGAGAGATTCACATGACTGGAGTTTATTACGTTAGCTACATTAGGTGTTCGTGTTTTCTGTGTAATTGTGTTATCTGTGCTGGAAAGCTGTTCGCTTTCAAAGTGAACCTGGCCTTGAATACCTCGGTAAGACACTGTGTTCTGCTGGAGCTCAGTAGCTGTAATAGTGTTGTAAGAATGAAGGTAAAATTCCATGAAGAGATAGAAAGAGGGGAAAAGTGTTGATTTGTACCAGGGTTGTGACAACCATCTCAACAATGCACGCTTAGAATTAAAAGGGAATTCCACTGATTTTTTTCAGTTTTCTGCATGATTGAATAATTAAGCTGTAGACAATAACAAAAAAAGTTTATCAGCGTGGTTGATGTGAAATGATCTGTTCTAGAGAAAAGTAAGAAGTCAGAGTTGTTTACTGTGGTGGAGATTGGAACCAGCCTCTAAAAGCTCCTTCACAGAAAGATATTATTAGATGAAATGGTTACAAATACGCTGCCTGAGACATTGTGATTCTGAGATGAGATTTTGGCCTAAATGTTTATTTTTTTCAAATCCAGTCATGGTGGAGAGGTACATTGTTGTATGAGAAAGTACTTATATATAATTTTTCTTTTTGTTTTTTTTTTTCAGAAAAAACTATTTTTTTGCCACTATTATGCCATTATCAACATTTCATATACAAACCCGCTGTTGGTTCCTGTAAAGTGAGCCATTTCACGTCAAACCACTCTGAATGACTTTATTATTGAATTATGTAGAAATCTTGCAATGAATCTTAATTAATCTTAATTTATTGATTATCCAAGGAAAGTGACAGTGGGTAGGACATTTTAAGACGTGGAATTTGTTTAGTTACCTACGTTGAAGACAATCACGCACGTCGGTTCTTCGGTAAAATGTTGACAGGATTGACTTGTGAAACCTGTACTTTGGGGGGTGGGGAGGGTGATTTTGGGCTCTGGTGCCAGTTCCCAGTTACCTGTTCTCAGTTATTGTTATGTGTTTGTGTATAATAATGTATTATTATTATTATTATTATTATTATTATTATTATTATTATGCTTATTTTTTGTGTTACAATCAGTGTGATGGTTCTAGTCTCAATGTTAAGTTATTAAGGAGAGTTCTGTCTAGACATCTTGAGAATGGTTATGATCCTCCTCCTCTGTGCGAGTTGTTGAAACTGGATTTTGTGTGCTATAAGCCGGCCTCTGTCGGCTTGCATTTGCTTGTTAGCGGGCTGGTATTTTCCAGTGACTGTGACTTTTCTGTGTCGGGTAAGCTTCTCTGCAGACTGAGATTGGACTCAAACAACCCAACAATCCTTACTGGCCCTGATCAGCATGTCTGCTGCACTCTAAACCACCTTTGTCATAGTTTCTTAAGCCTGCACTGTTTTTAAGCAAGTTTCTGGTAACAGCTCACATTGTGCACCCAGATACAGCCTGGTAGTGGGGTGCGCATGTTCAGATTTGGTGTGATTTTTGACTCTGAGGTTAAGATTGATTTGATTTGATTCAAAATTTTTCATTGTAATAAATGTGTTGATTGTACTGAGAAGGAAATACCACACAGATTTATCTGGCTCAGACTGATCTATACTCTGATAGGATACACCCAGATGCTTTTGATCACTGATAGCATTTTCCACATAATACGGAGTACCTCAGTAAACACAGAGGGACAGATCAGTGATACAGTTTTAAATTTTAAAAGTTACCGTGATGATAACTAGTTTACCACTGGTTTAAAAAAGGCTGCTTGATTGATTGATTATTTCATGCAAACCACAGGAGGACAAGATGCGTTATCTTTCATTAATACCACATTTATTGTACATAACATAGATTGTTTCTAAATCAAAGATGACATAATAATCACAACATTTACTAAGCTTTGCAATTATTATATTGTTTTATTTGACAAAGATTAGGCTTCAACTCAAGTATTATCACTTTGTTTGCTCTCACACGTGCTTCAGAATTAGAGTATGTCTTAAAATTATCTGAATAAAAAGTGTTATTATACAGTTTTAGCTTATTACAATTATTATTATTTGGCAGTGGTAGTAGATAGAAGATATATTTGCAAAAACTAATAATAATAATAATAATAATAATAATGGTCGTGTATATGCTCCTGATGCCTGAAACATTGTTTAATGATAGTTTTGAGAGGTGTTTTTTTTTTTTTTAATAAATCCATTCACGCTGGAGAGGTACATGCAGGGCTCTGTAAGAGAAAGTAATACCCAAAGTGTCACTGTTCTGCCATTATGAACAGTTCATACAAAAGCTCAAGTTCACCAGTGTGCTGTTTTTGTGTTGTAGACATTGTGACCCCTGGTTCTGATCACCACCACTGTAAAGAAGTCAGTCATTAAGTTGTAAATGAAGGCCGTTATGTTCCCTTGTATCATTTTACCATCGTAAACCACCAATTGTTTGTCAAATCTTGGTCCTTTTGAAATTAAATTATTTGATGTAGAATTTAAATGTAATTAGTTCATTGCACGTGGCTTGTGCTGCAGTGTAGAAACAACGTCCTGCTGTCGCTGCCTGCTGGTGTAGAAGAAGGAAACTATCGTTGCTTTCTTTGGTTGAGACACTTTCAGTCTGACAGAGAGACAGACATGAGGCCCCTTTAGTCTACAGCTGTTGTGCAGTATAAAAGTTATTTATAGGTAAACCGATGCCTGTTGTATCTCTTCATTGATGTGAAAAACAAGCTGCTGGCCGACGCACTTCCCCCAACACCATTAACTAAATGCATTGTCACCTAGCTTAGGTTCAGGATAATTAAAGCTATTTTCACCACAGATATAAAAGCCCATCATTTATTTCAGACTGAATTAGTGTTCCTTTAGCCCTCATCGTTTTTAATGTGGTTGTCATTGATGGGTTGATCTCATCGTTGGGTAGAGCTCTTGATCTTTTTCAGTAGTGCAATAAGGAATTGTTGTAGCAATAACTTGGTGAGTTCATATAGTACTCTGTAATTGAGGCCATTTGAAATTGAGCTGTCTTTTATGTAAGGTTCGGTTTCATTCTTCTGATCTGTGTCTGTTTCTTTCTCTCTCCTCTATAAAAGGGGAAATGACTAAGCCTTCTGGTTCTGAAAGTCCAAATCTTGTATCAGATTCTTTTAGATCAGAGACCTCTTTTGCCTCTATTGCCAGTGCACATCAATGGCTTTCTGAAGCTAAGCCCTCTCTGTGATGACCAGTGTTAAAAATGAATCTTTTTATACTTAATTATTGAACAATATTAACATCTCCTTTTCCGCTTCACCATTATCTCTAGTTCATTCAGAGGGCAGTTTGGCCAGCCCCTTACAATGATAAAATGATTTTAATCATGTCTTGGTGAAGTTTTCCAAAGACATAAAAAAATTTTTTTTAACTTTATGCTGATTTTTTTTTTTTACGGCCATCGAGCTGCTGTGAGTGTACGCCTAATACCATTTGCACTGGGACTTGCTTACATGTCTGCCAAATTCCATTGCCATTCCAAGGGCAAAGTCCGAGGTAGCCTGGCCAAGTGGAGTATCAACACTGTGTGTGTTATGGATCCCTTCACCTGTTAGACTCTGTTTTCCAACATATGCAGCAGCTGCGTATAGCACAAAGCTTCTTAACTGTTATTGGGCAAGAATGTTTTTA